TTTGATAAAGTATAAAGAGATTGTTTCAAATAATTAATTTCTTCAAATATTTTATATTCTTTGTGTAATTGGGGTTATATATCTCTCAATCTATTCTTTTATATAAATAATAAATATATTATATTTGTAGTAAAAATTAGTCAAGATAGAAAGTTATTTACAAAATATTTCACAAGCTAAGATTAGTGAAAGGTGAAAAGAGAATTGATTTCATCATTATTGAAGAAAGGATAATAACTTTCGAAGAATAAGAACATTAAAAAAGAAAATAGTAAGAGCCTACAATATTTGGAGGAAAAAAGTAATTTTATAAAACTATAATTGATCTTACTTGAACCACAATAAATATTTTAAAATTAATTTGATTTGATGAACAAGGAGGATAATGGCATTTTGATCTTCTGAGTTTTCTAAATTTATAAGTATATTTGATTTAAATTCTTTAGTTTTGCGAGAAAGATACAAACAAAACAAAAAACATACGAAGAATAAAAGATAGATTTAAAAAAATTGTATAAAATTATAAAAGCATGGGATACACATATTCAATAAAATTATACGATGAGATCATAGAATGTAAACTCTCAGCTTAAGCAATCTAAAATTACAACCGATACAAAAACTTAAATACTATATAAACTTGATTAAGGCTTCAAATATGATATATTCGGATTAAACACAACAAAGAACCTTCACAAAACTTTTAGTAGTCAACTGTTTTAATTCTTTTTTTGATAAATTAAACGAGTTATTTATAATAGCGCAAAGCGCGGCTAACTTCACTAATTTTATATAAGTTGAAATTTTAAGATAGTGATATTTTTTCAATTATATGAGTGAAAAAGTAGCTAGTCACTACGTCCTTATGTCGTTTATTATTGAGTTGTAACTACACAAGTGCCACATACTACTTTTACACCTATGGAATAGATTAATAATTAAGTTTTTTTAGATAAGTGATGTTAGGTGGAGCAAAAATTATTTCATTTCATCTTTAACAAAAAAAAAAGTAGAACAAGAAAAAAAAATGAAAAGGTTATAGTGAGGTCAATAGTGGCGGAATCATAATTATCATTAAGGAATTCAAAATTTAAAAAGGTAAGTTGAAGGCGATTCAACATTTATATATATATATATAATACATATAATTTTTTTAATTATTTATAAATAATAAATATAATTTTTCGTTGAAAAGATTTAGATGAACCACTTAAGTCCCCTACTACCCCCGGTGAGGTGATAGAGTCACCCTTCCATTATTAACCAAATATTTTGACTACCTTATCCTCGAAGTGGAATGTTTTGGCACAAATTCAACTAATCGAGTTATAAATATCGAATATCGACTGAAATTATTTCAGTCTTAATTTCTAAAAACATGTCTGTCATAGCTCTTGGAATCTAGCCTCAAATATTGTCGAACCAAAAGGGACCCTTGATTTAAACAAGTCTACATATCATTATTACCAACTTCGATCATATACTTTTGAAGATTACAAAATAACAGCTATTAAGTAGCAAAAAGTGGAATTGTGCTTCATGATGTGCTAGCTCATTTCTTCTTTACTTTACTTTCTTTTTTCATTTTCTTTTTGGGAGTTGGGGCTACAAAAAAAATTATTAAAAAAATGTGAGTACTCTTTATTTGTTTGTCTCAATTTATGTCGCAATACTAAATTCGACGGTCAAAAGATAGCACATAAAGACTACGTACCTCTAATGGCTAGTAATTATAAATGTATGTAACATTGCAGAACAAGTATTTTTTAATAATTGTTTTTTCGGTTGAAGTAATTATTTAATGAGATTATAATTAATAATTGTCAGATAGAATAAGAAAACCAAAGGCAGACATATGCATCCTAGAAAAAAAAAACTCATTATTTAGAGAAACACTCGTCAAAATAACTTTGGTCAAGTCTGATAAGATTCTAGGCACAGACACAGGCATCCTTAAAAAATTGTGAATCACATATTGTGTCATTAATTGCTAATTAAGCCTATTTAATTTGGCGGCTTAAGTAATTAGAATCTTATAATGTTGGAATTTTCACTACATGTTGATTAATATTAATGGTTTATAAAATAGTTTAGGAAAAATCCTTTTGGCCAGAAAAGTAAAATAACATATTTCACACTATTTTATTTTATCTTTTTGATATTTTTACCTTTTTAATTTTAAAACCTTTTAATTAAATGGTAAAAAGAACAGTTTATTTTAAAATAAAAAGGATATTATAGACTTTTTAATTTTCTGGCCATTTAGCATTACCCGTTTGTTTAAATAAATACATGGGAGATTTAACTTAGATGTGTTTATATGTTTGATTTCTTGATAGGCCTAAATCACTTCATGTATTGATGTAGACTGATATATAAATGTATGTTCTATTGAAGACCTAATAAAACGCTCTCTCTATGACTCTACATATATATAAAAGATAAACCAAAATTACTGAAATATTGATTTTAGTTGAGAGCGTTTTACTTAGTAAAGTGAAACTTTCCTATAGTCGAACCACCGTATCAAAAAAGAAAAAGAAAAAAATTACATAAAACTAAATCACCATATCCCATCGACTTTCTTAAAGTTACATCTACCCATGTATATTATAATATGAAATCAACAGATCGGAATATATATCATACGAGTTGATTTCATTTGGTATCTTTGAATTAGATGAGATGAGATCTAAAACTTAGAATATTAATTGATTTCCGTTTGTCATATTGTTAATGAAAATCACGAGAAGGAAGTTTTTTCCTTGTTTTAGGTCAATAAATATGAAGAAAGGAACATGAAACGGGAAAATAAATAAATTTGTGGGGACTCTTTTACATTTGAATTCCTGCTGTTTGTTTCCTTGTTTTGAAATTCAACATTCTTTACGTCATGGCATAAAACTTGACCTTGAAAATGACATGGATTAATGGCGAGTTCGACGTCTAAAGGACATAATTTTTAATCTATTCTATCAAAATTAAAGGGCATGTTCCTAAAAATAAATATCGAAATAGATTTCTTCTCCCAAGATCGGAGTCCGGACTCGAAGAATGACCATATGAAAATTATTTGTATTAGTTAGACTATTAAATTTGCACTAATATTGAAATCATATTTTTCTATCAATAGTTACAAAAAAAAAGAATAAAGAAAAATGTCTTCTACTTTATCATCATGAAATGTTAACTAATCACTATATAGTTAGGATAAATTTTTTTTAATCAAAAGACCAATTTTTGGAAACTATTTAAATAAAACAAATCATTAATTTTTGCGTGATTGGTTTTGAGCTCCGACCAATAAGATTAGTTATTTATTTTTGGCCTATTAACGTCAGGAGGACACATTATACTAGTTTCATGTTTCACATGTATATGTTCCCTGGTTACACATGCGATAAGTGGATATATAGACCAAAAACACTTAACATTACTAATTGCAACATTAATCATGATTAAGATCATGCATATCATGGTGATGGAACAATAATCATTTCTTCTAAACTGAGTTAGGAAAATGTACGATGCAACTTAAATCGATAAACACATGAATAATGATATTTGTATGTACTCTATTACTTTATAATGGTTAACATATGCATCATATTAGATAAACACATTTCAATTAATTAAAATTTTGTTAGTATATATATAACAAAATAAATTACACTATTTTTCTGCCTTCACCTTTTTCGATTTTTTTTTTTAAATTTATCTTTTGGATTTTGGAGGTAAAGTGGGGACGTCTGGAAAATTCTTCCCAAGAATTGTCATATTCCTCAAAATGATAAAATATTCTCGAATGGACAAAATATTGCCATATTCTATAACCAAGGTTTATCTATTTATTTATTTATTATTTTTGCCTGATGGAACACTACCTTGGTAAGCTATTCAATTTGTTGGGGTCACAATTTTGTTATAATTGGCAAGTGATTCCTTACTTCAAATTTTACATGACATTATTTAGTAAAGGCTTTTTTCTTTTAAAAAAAATGGGGTGGTAGGAAAGGGGCAAAATTATAACTAGGGTGTGCTATTGATCGGTTCAGTTTTATGTGTTGGTTTGATTTTTAATTTTAAATATGTTAAATCAAAAAATAAATCGATAAGATATTTTTAATCGTTTTTTGGTTTATCGGATTTGGTTCTTAACGGTTCGGTTTTTGGTTTAACCAATTATAAAACAAATATATTACTTCTCTAATAAATTTGACGCGATAACGTAATACTGTAACTAGTTACTATAGTATTGTCTATCTTTGGCATTTAGTCTTCAGTTCACACTTCACATTATACAAAATGTCAAAACCATAAGTAAGAACCATATTCCTCTTAATTTATATTTGTGTTACACTTGTATAGTTCTTTTCATTATTGTTATTATTGTTTTTATTTTATGAGCATTTGTAAAGGCATTGAGATTAATATTTAATATTATGTACAAGTAAAAATAGTAAATTACTAGTCTTAATATGTTATTGGTTTACCCAATATTCAATATTAAAAATCAATACCAAATCGATAATCTGATAATTTTTTTTGAAAAAACTGTTAACCTAATAACAATACATCAATAACATTTTTTCAGTTTAGTTTATCGGTCGATTTTATTTTTGCACACCCTTAATAATAACCAGTGACAGAGTCAAAAAATTTATTGAAAAGAATTCGACATTTAATAAAGTCAACTAACTTAAGCTATTAATAATATTTTTCATTATTTGATAACCTTTTAGAATTAAAGATTCTAATATATTTTGTATGTTATACTACCTAAAACTTAAAAAGTAGACGTTGGGGGAACAAAATCATGAATTAATAATCACATATGAATCCTAGTGTCATTAAGCTTTTTTTTAATCATTAACAAAAGGTAGGAGTATTAAATTTTTTAGACCAAAGTTTTAATTCAGTTATATTTGTTTTTTGGGGCCACCCCTTTGCTATATTAAAGGAAACCATTTCTTCCTTCACATGAATATTCTCACTTCATTGACTCACTTCTCTTTATAGTCTTTCTCCATTTCCAAAATCCTAATCACATTCTTCCCTCCAAATTATCACCGCCGTCGTCCACCACATCGCCGCCGCATATCCACCGTCATACAATGAAGTAGCTGTTAACTCCATTAGAGGGTTTTTTCTTCTTAGCTACCGAAAATGGGTTGTTGTGTTAGCAGTGGTAACAGCAAACTACTACCTCCAACTCTATCAAATTCTTCTTCACAACAGAGTGAGGAAGAAACAGTGAAAGAAGTGCTCTCTGAAATTCCCACTTTTCCAAAATCAAAACTCTACACTAATGAAAATAGTCCCAAAAAATCCTCACCCATCTCGAAATTTTCCAATTCGATGGAAGAAATGTACCATAAAAATCACATTATGAAGAAACCCATTACCCCTAATTTCAACCACCCTGATGATGTTTCCGAAGAAGTATCCGAGATCTGCAGCAGCACTCTCAGTGAGGCGGCAACAGTAACAGAGAAGCGATATGCAGCTGATGATGACGCTAACGAAGTCCGGCAGCGGTCACCGGCGAAGTACCGGAACGGTTCCTTTCAGAGAAGTGTTGGAAACTCGCCGGCGAGAAGATCCGATCCGTCTCCGGGTCGAGTGAGATCCGGATCCGGAAGGGAATCTCGGGTACAGAGGAAGGATAATGGGGAATGCTCCGGTAGGAGATCGAGGTCACCGGCGATGAGGACGGAGAATGGAGGATACGGGTCGGGTTTAGGGAGGAGTCCGTCGGTGAGGAAAACGGGTAAGTCGCCGGGAAGGGTGAGATCCGAATTGGGTGATCGGATCCGGAAAATGGATGAGAGAGATGGAAATGGAGAAAATAATTGGGCACCGACAAATGGAAATGAATCACTTGAAAATCCACTTGTGTCATTGGAATGTTTCATTTTTCTTTAAATTAATGTAATCTTTTGGTAAAAAGTTGCTATAATATTAGATTTTGACATTAACATGCAGTGCCTATCTACCTTTCTCTTTATATATTTACTTAAAAAATTTTAACTTGTCTGATTAATTTAAATTCACATCGATTAGTACCGCAATTTTTTGCAAGTAGCTAGTTTTCTCATTCATGATTCTTTGACTGATTTGGGGGCACTGTCGGTCACTTTGAATTGTTTAAACGTGACATTTAACATGTACTTTGATGGATAAGTTTATTAAAATATTAATAAGATTTATTTTGCACGTAATAAATGGAAAATAAATAAAATATGTTAATGAATGATTTTTGGAACCTGGCGTTGCTTGGATTGGAATATTGGATTATGGATAAGTACTCAGTAGTCCCAACCTCACACCTCCTGTACCCAACACCACTCATGGGGTGTCAAGGCATACGGTTAAAAAAATAATAATTAGTAACATAGAGAATTTCTACTATAACAAATCCTTAATGTACCCTTCGGGGTGGCCCAGTGGTTTGGGCTTGGGACTTTCATGTTGGAGGTCTCAAGTTCGAAACCCCTTGTTTGCGAAAGCAAGGGGTTTGTCTTCTGGGTCGAGTTCGTCGCACCGGGCTTGCCTAGTGCGGGTTACCTCTCCTATATGGTTTGTGAGCTATTGCATAGGAGCGGAGGTTTTACCCTATGCGCACCCAAAGGGTAGCGGCTACGGATTTCCCTTGTCATCAAAAAAAAAATAAAAAAAAATCCTTAATGTGAAGAACCTTACGTTGAGGCGATATATATAGTGAAGATTTAGATAATCAACTTCAATGTATTTGAAATATTTGTGTCATGAATGCGAGGCACGACGAATCTAAAAGGATGGTTGGATGATTCTTGTGATAAATATAATTTTTGTTCATAACACAACAATAATTCATAGATTTAGTAGTCAGATATGGACTCCTTTGACAGAAAATTATACTAGTAATTTATATGATTAAAAGTGTATTTATATACATATATAATTCTGACTCCGCTACGGAATCGGTTTGGATATATGGTCACAGTTTTGGGAAGATAAAGTGGTAGGCTATTTTTTTTGACAGAGTGTCACCAACAAGAGTTGTGGTGGATTGATGTCTGGTAAGTACCGATTTTTCGTTTTTAATTAGAGGTTTTAAGTTCGAATCCTCTTGGATATAAAGTCATCTTTATTAGAGAGCATTTTACCCTTAATATGATACATTCTACCGCCATCCAAATTTAATCAACTATATTATAAAACTTTATGAATTCAAATTTAATCGAGTTTCACGGTGAATATCATAAAAGTGGCAACTGTTGTGGGGATTAAATTTGGATACAATAATTGGTAACAGACTTTTGAATCGAAGAAGATACACATGCCTTTATGGGCTGCGGCTGTCAGCAGCTTCTTCATTTTCTTCACACATTCTCATGTACCTACCTGCTCTTCCTTTATTTTGATTCTTTTAATTTGTCTTTATTTCATCTTTAATCTGCACAAATGAACTATTCAAAACCACTTATTACTAGATATTAAATCCAAACACGTTACCCCAAAATAGTACTCTCCGTTTCAATTTATGTGATTTATTTTTCTTTTTAATAAATTAAAAAAAATGATATATTTCTATATTAAGTAACAATTTAATTATAAAATGTTTATTTTATCTTTAATGAAATGATTTACAGTCACACAAATTTTTATCATTCATTTTGGACCACAAGCTTTAAAAGTCTTCATTTATTTTTTAAACTCCTTGTCGAGTCAAACTACCTCACATAAAATTGGGACGGAGGAAATAATGAGTATATGGTACAAATTTAAATGTTTACTTGTATACATTCAAAGTTAGAGAATAAAAATGTTAGCCGAAGAGGAGGTATATTCCGTATCCATATAAGCTAATAATGAAAGTTGATAAATGACTATAATATTACCTTGTACGTACTGAAAATTATTGGACCAAATTGATTCTTGTTATTTGACAAGTTGTGTATAAAAAAGGGCAAAGAGGTAATGGAAGATGCATGTGATCATGATGAGAGTACTAAAGGGGAATGGAGCAAATAGGTTGTTGGGATTTAATTTGATAAGTTTGTATATTTATGGCTGGCTCTACACAGCTGGTTAGGCCAATGTGAAACTTTGACCAAATCTCTCTACATATCCATGGATCTCAATTAAACTAGTTATTAATATATATATATATGTATGTATGGGGTTCACAAGACAAGATTAAAAGTAGGCACCATATTTATCACAACTACCTTCACTACTTTACAGCATACATTGCTAATATTAACCAATAAAGGCCTCACTAATCTAGAATAGAACATGCATTTAATCCTTGAATATCTGAAATTGTCAGCATCATCAAAATTGTAACTAATACTAATACGATACAATATAAAGGTCCCCTGACATTATATGGAGAATTTGAATTCAATTCCTCATGGAAATGTCAATATTATTTATAGCCGTTATTATATAGTAGTACATATATAATATATCATTTGGACTATATATATACAGTGGTCCATATTTATTTATGCATATATAGCTCCTGAAAAAGATCGATGAATCCGTTACTATAATTTGTCAATTTGTTGTTAGCTATTTCATCATATTATAGATTCCACAGTATATATTACCCATATCTTCGCGGTGTATATATACTTTGCCACACAAATGTTATTTTTCAGCCCATACTTATGAAGTTGACTTGGCCTATATAGGACCATTTCTGTGTTTCAATATTCAATTTTCATGTCTTTTGTTGCAACCTGCATAAAATTGAGATACAGAAGGATAACAGTATGGGTGTCAATTTTGTGCCATGATTTTAATTTGTAGTTATTCTACTTACAACTTTCATGATAAAACAAGAGGAAAAAGACAAATAAATTGTTTTACTTTATTACTATAGTAAATAAATAATTTCAAGAGTTTAAAATATATAGAGATTAAAAGAAAACTAATGCAACATTTAGAGGATTAACAAGGATTTTATTACCAGTACAAAGTATTAGTACTATCCAAGAATTACTATAAGCACAAAGCTGAGCATCAACATGTCTGCTTCAATTGCGTGCTCATACAAGAGAATAGTTGACAATAGTACCGCTAACCCTAACCTATTAGCCCTATATTTATCATAATATACAAATTACTATATTTACATTCAATATATATATGCTAACACACATAGATTTTAATGGAGTACATATATATACTCGAGATATATTTATACATGAAGTTCTTCTCGAGTGTTCGGGTGCCCTTGCATTCCCTCTCCTCTACGTAGATCCGCCTACTACATAAATATTGTCATTCACACTAACCTTAGAATATGTATTTAACAAGTCCATATCGTGCAAAACTTACTACTACTATATACTATTTATCGGCCTTGCATATCAGTGATGGTCAACTCATTTTTGGAGCCAGTGAATGAATCATAATTATAGTAATTATTATAATTATAAGAAGAGGAGGATGATGTGCTTGCTCCTATTGTGTAATTTTTCCTTGTGACATAAGCTGGTTGATTGGGTCTTGGAAGAGGCATGCTATCACTTCCAAGCATAATTATCACATCTGACATAATTGGCCTATCACCTGGATCTTCTTGCACACATAAAAGTGCTATGTTTATGCACTTTACTACTTCAATTTCATTGAATGTATCCACTAGACTTTGGTCCATTATGTCCAATGCCTTATTTTCCATCCATAGTTTCCAAGCCTGTAATTATATTTAATTTCGAGTTATCAACGATGCCCAATATTCATATAAATTGGGACAGAAGGCCTACTTAATTTATATGTCAATCTTCACATTTCGTTTATGTCCTAAGATTACATGTTCTAAATAGAGAAAGTATTTTGGTACTTACATGACCCAAGAGGTTTGTGTCTTCAAGAACATCCAAGTTTTTGTTTCCACTAATGATTTCCAGTACAACCACTCCAAAAGCAAAAACATCAGACTTGATTGAAAAAAGTCCTTCCAATGCATATTCTGGTGCAAGATAGCCGCTGTATAACACAAGATAAGAATTAGTACAATTAAACGAACAAGTTATCTTAGGATTAATTATCTTAAATAACAACGTATTCTATGAGAGATAAAAAGGGCCTGTGGCGAGGATTTGCAAATTTTCTTTTAAGATAGGTATATTAATAATAGCTAACATTTAACTCTATTCGCCAAGTAATTAGGTGGCTCCGCCATGATAGCACAACTCAATTCTGGAGTTGATGATACTTGATACTACCGGGAAACAATATCATGCCGGTAATTAAGATCCATCTAGCTCCGGTGACACTGTCAATGAAGAGTTCCTGATCGGAGATTTGAGAGAGGCTAGTTCATGAAACAAGGCCGCTCCCTAGGGTTTCTCTATAAACAGGTGATTGCACAATTTTCCGATTAGCACCATGTACTTGTATTTTCATAAGATTTTTTGCAGAAAGTTAAACTGAAAGCATATATACTTACTAAGTTCCGGCAACTTTTTGCGTCTTAGCATCAATACTTCTGCCTTCAACAATCCTGGCCAAGCCGAAATCTGATATTTTGGCATTCATCTCTTCGTCTAATAGAATATTGCTCGTTTTTAGATCTCTATGAATGATACGTACTCTGGAGTCGTGGTGTAGATAAAGAAGTCCACGAGCAATGCCCAATATGATTTCGAAGCGGATATTCCAATTCAACAATGGGCGTACACTATGATCTTGCAGAACAAGTAGAAAATCACAACATTAGCAAAAACGAAACCAATTGATGATCAAAAGAACAATTGAAGGTAGCAGTTTTTTAGAAATCAAATATGTTTGCTTAAAATGGGAAGGAAAATGTTTTCCAATTTTCGGGTTAAGTGTTTTTCAAATCAACTCATTTTCCTTAAATTTAAGGAAAATGACTTCCCTTCAAAACTTATGAAAAATATTTTCCAAAACTCTCCGACCCACCCACTCCCCTACCAGCCCCTCCACCCCTCAAAAAAAAATTTAAGTTTATTTTTTAAAAATATTTTCAACTTCAATTTTTTTTTCCACCCCTACCAGCCTCCCACCCCTCGCCAATCAAACATGAGAAAATAAGTCAAAAATCTACTTAATTTTCTAGAAAAACATTTTCCGTTCATACCAAACACACCCAATATGTTTGATAAATGTCTCAAGAGAACTATCCGAGAACAAGCCCATCAAGTCAAAGTTGAATTTATATTGTGTCCTTAAGAAACTTAATCCCCTTGTAGTAGTACCCGAGGTATTTGTGTAGAGTGAACTCAAAGAACAACTAAATCACACTGAAATCTTAGTTTTCACCAATTACAGAAATTATGCATTCTAATTCCTAAGCTTTTGCTAATACATTCTTTCACTGTTTTACCATTGATGAATGGTAAGAAAATCTTTCCACACCAAAAGCAATATATTTCGGATACTTGTTTTCTGTTTTCCAATGTAATAATAATGACCCCAACAAAGCAAAGTTTTAGTTGAACAATGGTTTAGTTAAATAAATATTGATTGACCCTTATATCTATCTGTATGTATGTATAATGAAATTTAGAGGTTCACTGAACCAACCGGAGAGATTCTATAATGGAGGGGAGCCAAGTTCTCAGAAGAAAAGTAAGTAGACTCACTAAAAATACGGGTGTCTAAGCTTTTGTTGGGCATATATTCATATAATAAGATCTTTTCGTTTTCCTCGATGCAGTAGCCCAAAAGTCTGACTAGATTTCTGTGTTGGAGTTTGGCAATTAACATTACTTCGTTTTTAAATTCTTCTGCACCTTGACTAGAATGACTTGACAACCTCTTAATTGCCATTTCTTGTCCTTGAGGGAACTTACCCTGTACGTACAATATTAGCTCTAGTTAGAAAGATGATTTTAAAAATGGTATAAATAAACAATATATGTACATGTGAGAACCACCACCTTGTAAACAGGGCCAAATCCACCTTGACCAAGCCTATTTGCATCTGAGAAGTTGTCCGTAGCGACTAGTATGCTTTCCAAGTTGAAAAATGGGAGATCGATCCGTTTCTTATCATCTTCGGTTACCAAATATTTAGATGAACCTCCACGCTCGGACAAGTACTCTATCCCATTCCCCAAACTTATTTTCTTGGCTTCTGTGAGTTCAAAATTAGCAGCAAATTCACAATATATATCATACATATATATATATAAAAGCTTGTGCTATTTGTTACCTTTCCTTCTTGCCACCTTTTTTCTATGGTAGATAATCACATAGCAAATGGTTATAGTTCCAGCAGCAGTTAGACTGACAGAGATAATCAGGACTTTGAGATTCAAGGATGTTGCCTTCTCTCCACTCCATCCTCTTTGTCCTGCATGCTCTGAACCAAACGAAATTGAAACGAATAAAATGGAGGATACAACTAAAAGGATTTGTGGGTGGTGATCCACACCTTGTTAGGTATGCAAACAAAGTTCCCCATTGATAGTTGAAAAGGAAAAGAAGCTACATATAAGGTGTAATTGTACTATTCATGGTGTGAGATCTTCTGTGGAAAATTCTACATGCTTGGCCCAAAGCGGACAATATCACATCATGTTAAGCGTGTCTTTGGGTTGTTTTAGCCCAACAACTGGTATCAAAGCCAGTGGCTTGGCTGGACGAGTATGGAGATGGCATTAGACCCGGCTTAGTGTCTTTTCCCATCTACAGGTGGATTTGCTACCCTTACCTGTAGCTTTGAAGGTGCACACAAAAGATGCCAGTAGTTTGGTGGCCGTAAATACTCGGTTGATGGGAGTGATACACAATTAATCTCAAAGTTAACCATGAATACTCGATTGAGAGGGAGATTGGGTGTGTGTGAACAAAGTCCCACGTGAAAGTAGAGAAGAAAAGAAAGCTACATAAATTGTTGGATACTCTTAATAGTGTGGGGCCTTTTGGACAATACAACACGATGTTAAGAGTACCTTTGGGTTGTTCTAGCCCAACAACTAATATAGAGTCAATGGTTCGGCAAGATGAGTATGAATATGGCAGAGTGGTGGCTTGGGGCACGACTTAGTGTCTTTGCACATCTACGTGCCGATTTACTACCTTTACCCATAGCTGTGGAAATGCATACACAAACAATAAGTCAGTGGGCTTCAGTGGCCATAAATACTAGATTGATATGGGTGAGCCCATAAGGTGATGAGTCATGTGAAACTTAGTTTGAAGTGGAGATGATTGGGTGTGCGAACAAAGTCTCACATTGGTAGCTGAAAAAGGAAAAATAAGACATATAAGGTGTAGTGGTGGTGTGAGACCTTTTGAGAAAAATCAGGCGGGTTTGGCTTAATGCGAACATATCACACAATGTTAAGAGTATCTTTGGACTGTTGCCAACAATATGTTGTGCTTTTAATGAATTAAAATAGACATAGCTACTGAAAATAACTTAGCAGTGGCATCTATTCAAGGTAAATGATGACCTTTATATAGACATCCAAGACCATGTAGGTTTCATCATACTTTCCTGTTCAAATAACAACCCACTAACCATAAAACTAGAGCAACTACCGCTGACTACTAGGCACTAAGAATAATAGTGGCACTACATGCTAAGGACCAGGTAAAGATTAGACTAACAACTAAAGACTCTGTAGACCTGTAGTCAAGCATGAATTATAAAACAAGGAGCTGGAGTTAGTCTTAACATACCTCTGGTACAATTTAACGCTAAATCATCCCATTTGTAGTATTGATTACATTGACACCTTCTCTGACCTTGTCCCTCCCTGATATTGCAACTGGAATTTGGCCAATCCACACAATCTGCAGAAGTTTTGCATGTAGGTTCTGGTGGTGGTTTCCACATGATGTGTATTTCATTTCTTAATCCACCAGGACTGAGGTTTTGTGATTTTCCTTCATCACACCGATCTATACGATGAAAGGGTAATGACTGATTGAGCCATAAAACTTGAGTTTTGGTATCACATGAATTACCAGCATTTTCTGCACGCACTTGTATTACAAATGTTCTGTTTTCCTTATTTATGTTAATGACAGGATATGAGCCAGTCAGTGTCCGGAAACGTGCTTCTCCAGTTAAATCATCACAAGAGAAACTATAATACAAAGGATCCCCACAATTTGGTTGACTGCTCAATGGATAAGGTATAATGTTTGAGCCGCAAGGCTTACAATTTCTCCTTGTTATTGCTCCTGCAAAATGATAATTATAGATATTCTTGTCATGAACTTCAATTATCCATGTCTTCACATTATAGTTGAACAAGATATTATTCTACTTAATGATTTACTCACATTTTTTTCTTTTTTTCTTTTTTGGGGTTGAGGGGGGATGAGGTGGAGAGAACAATTGGCAAAGGAAGGCCTGTTTGGATAAAAATTATCTGTACCAGACTACATAGGTTGTCCAATGAAGAAAAATCTCTACTTGTCTAAAATTGATACTGATCTTATAGTATTTATACAAGGTATGGCCTGCAAAGTTAAGGCAAATTGTGAAAGGAAGTACCAATATCAGTAATTGCTATGCGGACAGAGAGGTTGAGGCCACCAGTATAGTTCTCCTGAAGATTGTTGAGATCTTTCGTCCAAATCGAGCAACTAGGTACAGTGCTAGAAGTTTCTCTCTCTGCTCTAGGTTGTTCAAAATATGAATATGCTATGCACTTACAGTTTCTTAGACACTCTTTTCTGCAATCTTCTTCACTTTTAGTCTCCACATCTGGCATGTCTGAATCCTCAAATTTCATAAAGTGCATATTTAAGAATGTGTCAAATTCTGACTTCTTGTTGCAACCACTAACTGACTTTCTTGAACAACCATCAGTATAAGTCCCAACCGTCCATTCTTCTGGAGAAATAGGGTCAAATCCTGGCAAACACTTGCACCGAGACATAAACCCACTGTTGCAAATTCCAAAGTTCCCACAAGTGTCCTGCACATCGCATGGACCTTGTGGTTCTGACCATATTTGTAACCACCCTGTACTCTCGTTACTCCAGCCATATAATTGTATTTCCCCTAAGGAATTCAGTAGTAGCCTTGTGTAATTAAAGTTTGGCACAGATGAAACATCATCAGTCCGTGACTTGTTCAATTTCGGGGTATATTGTCGTTTTGTATTCAAACTGAAATTGGTTAACATTGATCCCACAAGAGAGGGAAGTTCATTGAAACTATAGTGTTTGGCATAAGCAGCTGGAGCAGAGCCTTTCCAGAGAAGGACCGTCTTTTGGTGTAGTATGTTGTACTCAAATTTTCTTTGACTTTGCCGAAACGTGTAATCTCCAGTGCTGGGATCGTTTTGGGTAACCCTCCAAGCAGTCAACTTCAATGCACTGTCCATGTTCATACCAGGAAGGAAGGTGTCAGTGGGGTTGTCAAAACTTTGCCACAATCTCTTGCCTGACAATTCATCAATTAAAACCAAATTTCCTGAGTCATAGAGCTTTGCTGTACGCTTAGAAGAAGATGCACTAACGAGTCCTGTTGAAAAATAAGAGTTCTTCTTTGAGTCCAACACTTTGAGATTACCATCGACATCAATGTCAATAGCCAAAATTTCATCTGATAAGGGAATTGGTTTGTCCCTATTGGCAACCCACACAATAGTTTTGGGACTCACCCGGTACCATATGCCAACATAATTTCTAGATCGTGTGTTGAAGAGTCCCAGCTCGAATATCTGTCCAGCTGACACAAGAATTTTCGTTTTGTTTGATAATATGTTCCTTGAAGTTATGCTGTCCCTAGAATCACATTTGAAGTGACTCAAATACAGCAAGAATACAAACAAGAAGAAACTAGTAGACTTCATGTTGCTAGCTCATAAAAACAATGGCTATGGAATATTGGTATTCAGATTTGAATTTACAAGTCTTCAGAATAATCTGTGGTGCTTAGACTACCGTAAGGATTTTCCTTAAACTGGGACCAATTATTCAATATGATTCCAGCTCTTTTGTTTTCAACTGACTAGGATAACAAGTTTCTCGGAAAATCAGGAAAATGACTTTCAAAAAACAAGTTTCGTAAGTGACATTTCATCCTATTCACCCCTACATGGACTAAGATTATATGTAAATGCTACTCGATATTTCTACTTACCAAACACTAGAAAAAAAGTTACTACAATACTAAATAGTTTTCTTTACCAATCACACCCTTAGCCTTCTTTCTTTTCAATCTAAATTTTGCATTCCCTCCTTAAATCCCATGTTACTAAATGGTAGAACTAGGGACCCTTTTTTTGTTTTCTTTCTCCTCCCCGGTCCCATAATTGTTTCCTCCAATCATGTAAGTACGTGTCTTAATCGTCTTTACTCTTGAAAAATAATTAATTAATTGGTCTTTCTAATATTTCTTGATTATATTGAAATTCGAAAATAAAAATGAATGGAGAGAATTAATTGAAAGAAAAAACACAAGAATCCAACTACTCCTCAACATTTTTGGACAAGTCATTCCCCGATGGCTCGTGCTTCATAATCATTGTCTCTGACAATTCTTAAAATAGTAAGTATAGTCTATTATTGCTTTCTTTTACACGGTTTGGGATATTAATTTGATCGAATTCAATAGTTTCTATTTGTATTATGTATTTATTTTAAAAATTTATTGGATATGTATTGACTACTTTTAAAACTTTTTGTTTGTCAAGATTTAAATTACGTAAATTTTGAATTAAAATCTTTAATTATATTGATATGAGACAAGTTATAACTTAGAGAAGTATATTTCATGTAACTTTTTAATACTTAAATTTTAATTTTAAAATATTGAGTTGATCTAATCTAGTTTTACTTCAAAGATTTGTTAAATTTACTTTCAAAAAATAAAAATAGCACATAAATTGAGACAAGAAAAGAATTAACATAGAATTCAATTATTCAAAAAGATTAGAATTTAAAATTCATAAATTAAATTTCAAGTACCTCCGTCTCCAACTTTGAATGAGTATTTAGTTTTGATCTGAGTAGGATTCAAAAAATTGAACTTTATAAATTCGTAATTTTAATTTTTCTTGAATTGGAATTTATTATTGCCGGAGGATTAATCTTCTGAATACAAGAGAAGTGAGTGAAGAGAATAAACTCTGGCGGCATAAGATAAGGAAGACATTAAAGATAGATTGTAATACGCAATGTATGGGTTAAATTAAAGGGAAAATTGTATATAACATCAAACTATTAATTTAAATTAAATGTTATAAATATAGTTTGATTTAATTGTATCTCATAACAAACTGTTGCTATTTCACCTCTCTCCTGGTGAATTTCGCTCGCCACTCTCGTTCTCTTCCTTGCCTCTCTCGTTTTTTATACAAACGCAAGTGTATAAAGTGTGTTTGTATTTGTATAAAGCGAGAGAAAATTGTATATATACATATATTTTCATTCCCCTCTCGCTCTCTCACTCGCCTCTCTCACTTTATACAAAAAATGCAAATTGTATAAAATGTGTTTGTATTTGTATAAAGAGAGAAAATTGTATATATACATATATTTTCATTTCCCTCTCGCTCTCTCACTCGCCTCTCTCACTTTATACAAAAAACGCAAATTGTATAACATGTGTTTGTATTTGTATAAAGAGAGAAAATTGTATATATACATATATTTTCATTCCCCTCTCCCAGATCTCGCTTGCCACTCTCTCAGATCTTGCTCTCTCACTCGCCTCTCTCACCTTATATAAAAACACAAATGTATAAAATGCGTGAAAATTGTATATATACATGTATTTTCGTTCCCCTCTCTCCTCTCTCCCAGATCTCGCTCGCCACTCTTCCAGATCTCGCTCGCTCACTCGCCTCTCTCACTTTATACAATTGATCTTTTTGTATATGTATACCAAAACAGATTATACAATTGCTTTCTTTTGTATATGTATAGCGAAATATACATATTTATGTTTGTTATGGAACGCAATTATGCAAACTTTGCTATAGCATACAAATATGAATTTTGTGTTTGCTATATGTGAAAGTTGCTCAAATAAATGTCATGAGTTTGAAATCTTATTTTTCCACCAAATAATATCAAATTAAGGGTGTGTTTGGTACGAAAGAAATCATTTTTTGGAAAATGTTTTCCAATTTTCTCATGTTTGGTTGGGTAAAATGTTTTGAAAAATATTTTTCAAATAAACTCATTTTCCTCAAATTCAAGGAAAATGACTTTCCTTCAAAACTGAAGGAAAACATTTTTCAAAACTTTCCTCCAACTTCAAATTATAATTTTTTTGTTGAAAAAATAAATTTAAAGCTTATTTTTAAAAAACATTTTTCAACTTCAGTTTTTTTATTTTTTTTACCCCCCCTCCCGCCAGCCCCTATCCCCCCCCCCCCCAAAAAAAATAAAAAAAAATAATTTAATGTTTGTTTTTAAAAAATATTTTCAATTTCAAAATTTTATTTTCACCCCACCCTTACTCTCAGGCTCCTCCCCCCCCCCCCCCCAAAATAATAATAAACTTAAAGTTTTATAAAAAATTCTTTCAATTTCAAATTTTTGTTTTACACCCCCACACCACCCCTACCCTGACCCCCCTCCCCAGCCAGCCCCACCCTCCCCCCTCCCCAAAAAAAAAAGTTTGTTTTTAAAAAATATTTTTAATTTCAATTTTTTTTTTACCCCTTCTCACCCCTACCCCCGCCACCCCTCCCCCCAAAAAATTTAAGTTTTTTTTTAAAAAATATTTTCAATTCAAAAATTATTTTCTACTCTCTAGTAAAAAAAGAGATATTTTATCAAAAATAACTTTCATTCATAAATCAAACACTAAAAAATCTTTTTTGGAAAATATTTTCTACTTACCAACCAAACATGAGAAAATAAGTCAAAAATCAACTTATTTTCCAGAAAAACATTTTTTAGAAAAACATTTTCCATGAAAACATTTTCCATCATACCAAACACACCCTAAGTCCCTTATCAACCACTTTTAAGAGATTTAATTGTCGAAAATATCGACTCATCAACTAATTTCAACACCCATTCGTCAATCCTCGCTGAGATGGATATTTTCGATCGTTGCCTTTACTAAATACCCAAAATTAGTGGATATACAGTATACGCCAAGTATAATATGTGTGCAGATATTGTATAAGAAGTGTATATATTTATATTGCCTATAATATCTTTTGATTTTATGTGGTCATTCGGTTATCAATATTTTCGGATGGCTAATTATGTCCTTGCCCCATTTTGTACTTCATATGAAATTTGAAGGCTGGTTCCATTGGCCCAATTCATATGCTAATACTGAAAATACCCTTACTACATTCATCATTTTGATATGCAAAAAATTGCAATTTATAGTACTTTTCGTATAATTTTTGAATATATAAATTTTTTGTTTAAAATATCAAATTAATGTAATCTAATTTAACTTTGAAAACAAGTCAAATTGACTTTTGTACATGACAAATAGAACTGGACGGAGGAAGTACTTTATAGCAGTTATTTTTCTGGTTTTAAGAAGGTATAGCTCTCATCTCAGCTTTTCCTTTGAAATCGGAAAATTTGAAGTAGGTTTTGTGAGAATTAACAGTTAACTAGGTTTGAATTCAAGAGGATATATGCTTAGAATACCATTATGGAACATATTGACAACATAGACAAGCTAAAACCTCTTTAGCTATTTCTTTACTGAAGCTTTGGGTACAAAAAAGAGCAAACCAGCTGAGAAAATTCTATGTACATAACCCAAAATCCCAACTGGGAAACTCAAAATATATGCTCAGGTTACCCTTCATAATTCCATAAAACTGGCATTTTCTGATTTATGCATCATCAAGTTAAGAAGAGCTAGGATGACACGTTTGAGTTGGAAATTATGACACTGGGTATAGGATTCTGCCGATGGGAAGGCCATGGATTGCGTTCCGGTTGACAAGGTACAGGAGCAGGATGAGCAATAAAAGTTGGAATGTCATTTCCGGGCATCAAGACTGAAACTTCTCTGGCATTGGTAGATACCTGATGCAATCAAATGTTACCTTCATAGAAAGCTCAATAATATATGTTCAGAGGATTGCTCTCAGGCTCATGTTTGTAGTAAAAGTAAACTAGACGATTAAGAGGTACAATATAACAAATCGCAACTGCTAAAAGACTTGTTATCGACACTTTTGTATCTTTCTATTGTCAGATATATATACTGCAAGTTATTAAGATTCTCCCACTCTTGGTTATGTTATCCAAGAGGGACTAGGTGTTTGATCTTGTATATATGTATGTGTAGTTTAGCTGCTAGAAGCAAGGAACACGAAGAGATGAATCCAAGTCTTTCGAAGGATTATCCATATGCCAACCAACCAATGAACCATAGCTAAATTATTCGATGGCCTTCTAACTTAGTTGGGCACTAAAACACACAATAATTGTAGGCCAACCTAACTCTGAACATCACTATGTGTGATAATATACAATATGTTACCTTCTGACTCACTTTAGCTTTCTATATTTAATTTCCTAAAGGTTAATTGTACATGTTCATCTATGATTCCTTTACATTTCACATTATGTTTGGTTGGTGGAATCCAGGCTGAATGTTTTATTTTATGGGGGATAAATATGGGTACCAATGAGTGCCTTCCAGCACATAAAAACTCACCCCCCCCCCCCCCCCAAACACACACACAAAAGGTCAACTCAGTTTCTCAAGTGAAAAATCTTTTTCCAATCATACTATTTAGAAAAAAATTCAAGTGAAATGTAAGTTAAAACATTACTTCAACTTTAAAAAATTATGTTTCTGAATTCCAATCAATTCTGCAACCAAACGCGCATACTTAGTTTCTAAACTTGAAACAGGTTAAGCATATTAAGCCTGTTTGTGCATCTGTAAGAAGGAGGATTAGCAGGGACTAAGAAGATAAATCATTTTAAAAGTTGTGAAGTTCCACACAAAAAGGCACCAGGATAAAGAGAAGGGGGACAAAAGTACCAATAAAGGAAAAATTTGCGGATGGTTTAACATAAAGTCGATTTCATACAAGGAGAAAAAGATTGGAAGAATTGTTAGTTATGACAGCAAAAGGAAGCTATCTGTCTATAATTGCATGTAGCAGTAGTACAGGGTGGAGAGAAGATATACTACTTCCTCCAGTCCCAAATATTAGTCGTTTGGTACGAAAAGATAATGTCTTTTTTATTTTTTTTTTAAAAGTGAGTTTCTTGCTTATTTTTTTGTGTTAATTAAATAAGCAAGAAATATTATCCTAAAACATTAGATTATGTTTTTATATAATCTAGACAAATATGATCAGAGGTGGAGAGGGAGAGGGAGACTGGGGACGGTGACAATTGGGGTGGGATTGAATATGAGGTGTGTTGGATGACCGGGAGGATACAATTAATGCAGAATGCCACTTGTGAAACTTGTTTTTCCCTAATGACTTCACTAGGGAAATCATTTTCCTTATTATTAAGGAAATAGTTTTTCCTAGAAATTGGAAAAGCATTTTCCTCCATACCGAACACAACCTAAGACTACTAAATGGGCAAAACCCCTCAAAAGATATAATATGAATTCGATAAAGTAAACAAGAAAAAACAAAGATTTTCTCAGGGTTGGCAATCTGTCTCCATTCCAGGAGTATTCCATGGAGGACATCATTAACATTGGTGGTGACTGGTGATGGGATATATTAATGGAGGTGATGAACAAGGAGTGGGGGCAAAGACTTAATATACAACAGAAAAACAACAAGTAGGCATAAAGTCCCCAGATCTTATTAAAAGGGGACCAACTGAAAAGCTAACTTCTTAAATGGAAGAGGGGCCAGGGCCATTGTTCAAACACAAAATTAATGTGAGTGTTTTCTTGTGTATCACATTATGAAGAATATGCACATGCAAATATATAGTTTTATAATTCATAGACTTCTTAAAATATTATTTATCATCTTTTATAGTTCCACAACTTGGGTTTCTGCTGTAAAGTAGTAGCAACTTTTTCTTTTTTAGATGACCGGAGTGTCTAGACCAGCTTTTACACACCTCGACTAATTCCACGAGATACCTGTCACTTACCACTAGTAAGTGATACCAGATAACTCTGTCCACTAAGGGACGGACAAATGGGAAGAATCAAATATGTTATTCCACATTAATGTCACTAAAAGCCTCTGAAATGCTCTCACTGACACAAGTCTTGGAGAAAATGAGTCAAGAATTATGAAATGAGAATTTATTCTACTGTTTCTGCAAAAAATTATGGGATATTTACCTTAGCCCATCCCCCACCCCACCCAAAACATAAGAATTTGAAAACTTGAGAAAAATAGATGGAATATTTTAATAATAAAATAAAAAGGGAAATAAAGGGAAGAAATTATTATTCTAGTGACTGAAAATGGCACACAGGTATATCAATTATAGTAGAATTTAAACCTGTATGACAATTTCTTAGATGGGACAGTTTTCATTCTAATAAACAGCAACACAAATTAAAGATTGCAATACTACATATATTCTGCAAAGCACAGAGAAATATTAAAACCTATATGAATTAAACAACAAATACATTGACACATATTTTGTTTAAATAAATTATCTTTCTAAGTAACAATAAAGCAAAATACTAACAACTCATGTAAAATCCAAACAAAAAAGGTGAAACATCAAATTCCTGTTCATCATTTCCTAGACTAATTCACAATTAACATTAGCTACAATACAAAAACTTCAAAACCCCAAATGGTCAATGTAACAATAAATAATCCAACTGACATTTAGCAGAAGACTATTTGCTCCATTTCAATTAATTTGTTTTACTTTTCAGCCAACTCTTTAATTCTAAGATTTCACCTAACGCGTTTAAGACTGCAAGATTAAAAGACATTTTGATACATTTAAAATAACTTAAATTCAAAATCAGATAAACAAATAGAAACTAGTGAGTATTTCCAAAAAGGACCCTGAAAGAACACAAACAAGATATAGATAGCTAAATTCTTAAAAGACACTTACTTTGGGTGTAGGATAGCCAAGTTTGTGGTTGAACCCTAACTGAGACTCAATGTCTGCATGCCGGCGGTGGCCAACGGAGGGAGTCAATTCCGGCGGAGAAGGTGGTCTGAGGAACCTCTCAAAGATAGCCATGATAAGGAACATAGATATGAGAATAGCAGTGGCAACAAAACCAAAAGAAACAGCATTAACAGAGTTATCAAAATGAGTCCAATGATCATCTTTTGTTAAGTACATTGGTGAACCAGTGGGTGATGGTGGCCAACCCCAACTCTCTTCTTCTGCCATTTTTTTCTTCAAAACCCCACAAATCAAGAACTGCTAAAAATGCAAAGTTTTCACAAACATAAGAAAAAAACAACAAGAACTTGAGAATACAGAGTTTATCCAAAACCCCCCACAAACTAAAAACTGCTAAAAATACAAACTTTGTACCAGCATAAGAAAAAAAAACAAACAAGGACTTGGGAATACAGAGTTTTTTCAATACCCCACAAACCAAAAACTGTTAAAAATGCAAATTTTTTACCAACATAAGAAAAAAAAAAACTTGAGAATACAAAGTTTATTCGAAACCCCACAAATCAAGAACTGCTAAAAATGCAAACTTTTTACCAACATAAGAAAATAAAAACAAGAACTTGGGAATACAGAGTTTTATTCAAAACCCCACAAACCAAGAACTGCTAAAAATGCTAACTTTCTACCAACATAACCAAAAAAAATGAGAACTTTGGACTACAGAGGCTTTTCAAGATTTTGACACCATTAAAAAGAGAGAGAAAAACATGAAGATGGGTTGATTTTGAAATAAAGGAAGAAGCTTTGGAATTTGGTCAGAGATGAGGTGAGTGAGGGCCTCTCTGCTGAAATGGTGCAGCAGCAGCAGGAAGACTGAGGTCTGAGAGGTTTTTGTCTTTATCCTCAGCTCTGTTTTTAAGTACACACACAAGTTGGAAATATCAAATTTGACAGTTGAAATGGACATGTCTTATCTCCTCCCATGGCATATATTGGAATCATCTTGTACTAGGGCCTTTTCATGGGAAATAGTTTTCAATTTTGTTTCAGTTGAGCTAATTAAAGCCATTTTGTTTTTAACTTTTCCGACTCAAATTATTTATCATAATTTCGGTACATAATTGTCTCAGTCATGATTTCTACCTCTCACATTATTTATGAATAAAATATTCAATGAAAAGAACTAGTGTTTTCAAAAACGTTTTTGGAGCGAGTCCCATATTGAGTCTCGGGGCATGGCGTATCAAAAACGCTCCGGAGCGTAAATTAAAAACATAAGTCTTGGGCGTAAAAACGTACGCCCGTTCGTTTTTAATTAATTTTTAAAACATTTTTTGCTTTAAATCATAATTTTATTATTGGTATAATAATATTTCTCAAATAGTAATTATAATATTTTTTTTCCTTCATTATTGATTATTAATACTTATCTCAAATAAAAATCATAAATCATTGAAATGTTTACTTTTGCTTATTTTATTAGTAATAAAACTATAAAATTGAATAGATACGAGACTTACGCCCCCGCATCTCGGGGCTTACGCCTTACCCAGTGGCGGCTCTACAGCTTTGAAAAAAAAGCAACTGCCTTAGGCCCCAAAATTTGAGGGGCCTCATTTTTTAAAAATACAGTAGGTTATACATATTTTTTTTAAAAATTATCGCGTATAATTTGTAGAAAATATAATTTTTCATAAAAGAGCAAGGAAGTAATAGAAGTTTGACAAATTATGAGTATTATGTCTCAAGAAAGATTAAATAATTGGCTATAATAAACTTCATAAAAAATATATATTCGAATTTAAGGCCTCCATTCGAATTTTGCTTTAGGCCACCGATTTATTAGAGCCGTCCATGGCCTTACCCTGTACTGTATAAAACACCTCGCCTCATGTCCCCGCCTTTTAAAACACTGAAAAGAACATATATCTTAATACATAAACAAGGTTAAGATAATCAAAATTTCTCATAATTGACATGGATTATCAATTGTTAAGACAAAGTGGAGACGGAGTAAAAATTTAAACAGTATGAATTCAAACCTTAGAATTCTATCATGAATAATTTATTTACTTGGTTTGAAAATACCTATTTGTACTTGTTTAGTAAATTGTTCAACACATATATAAAATCCAATTCATAAGTCATGTAACTATTAAGTTTCGATAAACTCATGTAAAAGATGTCAATTGCCAACCTATATTTTACTGTAATCAATTTATCTTTTTATATCTCATTGGTTGGTAGTATGACATTTTAGAAGGTTTCTTTAGTTGGAAAAGAACTTCAGGTTATTATTATTTTCATAGTCTCTTTTGTTTGTCTAAAACAGGAAAAAGTGAACAAGAAAGAAGCAAGTTTTGTAAAGTAACTAGAGCAACTCCAAAAGAATTATATAAAAAATTAGAGATATATATTATTGTCAACTAAACAGCTGTATGCTTAATCATTTTATTTTTTTACCTAGTACTACTTAATAATTACTGTTGCTCATTTGAGTGTTTCTTTTTTGTGTCAGCATTAGTAAATGTTGGTTTGTGCGGCCAGGATCTAGGGATGGTTAGGCTGTTCATTTGAACCTATTCGATTAAAAATTACACAATATATAAAAAATAATTTTATTTTTATGTATATATATGAATTGTATCTCCTAAACACAAAATTAGAGATTGATTTTTAAGTGGTTTATGAGGTTCAAGTCCAAACATGATTTTCTATTAGCGGCTTTAACTATAACCTCAACTCTATTTATTGATCTGAAAGTCTATCTAGCAAAAGCTCCTAGCTAAATACTCTTCCTCTCGGGATCATGCTTAGTGAAATTTCTGAATTTATCACTATGTAGCTAGTCTTGTTATGACATTTGAACACATCCTTATTTAATTTGTATGTGACACAAATTAATACAACAAGGAAAATGAAAGGTACAAGCAATGGAACAGTAGAGTACAACATACAAAACATCAGGCCCAATTAAATAATAAAACAAGTTTGAAGTCCCACTTTATTGGTGGATGCAAATTACATGAATGAGCATGCACTAGTAATGGTATGGGCCCTGGCAGCTCCTTTTTCCTAATATCCAGCCCAATAACTCTTCTGCTTCTGTCTAACTTGGAATAGCCACTTGTCTTGTCCTTCTTTAATGTCAAAAAGTCTCACTATTCCTCTAGCAACTTGATGATCCTTTTCAAAAGAAAAAAAAAATCCCAAATAAATTAGTAAGTATTTCAAAAGTTGTTTATGCAGAATAATTCATTTTTATATTTTCCCTTTAGGATATGGTTAGACTCAATAATTGAAAATGAAAAGGTAGAACAATGAGAAATCTATTTATGTGACTAGATCATGCACTTTTAAGTGGTACAAGCTAACATTTGAGCCAGTTTAAATTGACTTATTTAATATGTTTATATAAGTTAGAATAATTTTAAAATGATTTTATAATATTTTAAATATTTTTTAAATCATAAATTATAAGTTTATTCAAGTGAATTCTTAATAAAAGACTTTTGATATATAATTACTAATGAAGATGCTTGAAGTATTCCAATATGACATATACAAGATAGAGGGGTTGCTCGTTTACAGACTATAGTAGTACATATATATCAAGAGTTTAGCTAATATCCACCGTTGATCTTTTGTAAAAGATAATCAGTGTTATTTTAAAATAATAAATCTCTCTTCGTATGGATATTATTTGTTAATAATTTTAAGTGACTCTTTTATCAAAAATATTTGAACATACTATCAATAATTATAGTAGATACAAAATTAAATATTTAGCATGCGTTTGACCATGCGATATCATATTATCATATGGAATTGTGAGATGGAATCATCATTTGGACATGTGATTTTACGTTGATTCCATCTCATGATTCCATGTTCTTCAAAAACCATGATATGAGAATTCCATATCATGATTTGAGATATTTCTAATACAAAAATTATTCCACAAGTTTATATTTTGTTAAAATAACCTCATATTTATATCTACTAACAATTTATTTTATATGTAAATAAAATTTATAATGACATCATTAATTTTTAAAATTTATTATTCTCACCGACTTAAAATTTATTATTGTCACAAACATATAGTCACTTTGACTCACACCAACCGATTGTTGAGTAATATTAAAGACTAGTACACTATAATTTATGTTCAATTTTTTTTATTGAATTAAAGTTAGATGAAACAGTTACTTCAGTGGAGAACAAATAGTTTTGTAATAATTTATTATGCAATTTTATTAATTTTTGTTTATTTAGTAAAATTGAATAAATAATTGAGGTTATTTTAATAGTTTTACAGCTTATGAGATTCTATGTTTATGAGAAAATATACAACACAAAAATTTTATATCACTTGTCCACACAAAACTTCAATTCATCTCATAATTCCATATTATGATATCATATCATGATACCATATCGCATGGTCAAACCAACCCTTAAAATATGAGCAAATTAGTCTGAACACCGCGATCATTATACGTTGTGTGAAATTTATGAAAGAGAAATACTATATTGGGATGTGGTGTCATCACAAAATCTCATATATCAAGAAGGCATGTTAGCGGTCCCTTTCTTGTGAAAAAACAAAAGCTTTCTCCTTTGCTCCCCTTTTGAATTTTCCACTACAAGAACATGACTTGCCTCTTTGACCTCTCTAATTTTTTATATATATAGACCAAGACAAATTTCTAAATTTCATACTTTGTGAATTTTCAAAAAAATAAAATTGGTTTATATATGATTCATTCTTTAATTTCTATTTCAACCTTGGATAGATCTAAGTGCTAGATATCATTTTCACTAATCTTTTTTAGTTGTTGTTTTCATTTTTCTGAGCCTCTCATCCAAAGTTGTACACTGAGAGATGTGCACAAAAAGTTAAATTTATTTTATGTTAACTCACATCAATAGACTCAAAAAAAAGTTGAGAGTGAATTGTTAGATCAAGGGGACCAGCTCGTAGTTAAGTGAAATCAATATCACTGAAAAAGTTGCTCTCAATAATAATATGATGTTCTTCTTTTTTTAAAATAATGAAAATAATAACAAGATTAGGAATGAAGATATCAAAAAATAAAATGAGAAAAACGAGACTGAAATAATAATTTAAACATGTAAAAAGAAAACATGCACTTAAATATATATATGAGAGATGATTAGACATGACACAACACGACACGTCTCGTCTTCGGCTTATCATCTCTGTGGTTCTTGATAAGCTTTTTATCATACACGTCAGCAAAGTATCTCCAGCTCATCATGCCGACGTGGAACTAACTGTACATTGTGTGCCATACTGAAAAAGGTAGAAGGGCAAATTAGTCAAAATAAGAAATATTCTTTGTATCAATCGTAGGGGCCCCTACCCGACATGTCAGCTCTTAAAATTGTCAGACTTTCCATGTTTCCACCAACAAAATGGACTGATCGTCGTTAGTTAGTCGTTTGGTGTGATGAATAAAAATAAATAATTTTAAATAAAATTTTGATGTTTTATTTGGTTAACACGTTAGAGATAACTTATCTTATCAATTATAACATAATGATGTGATAAGTTATCTCATATATATGGTGGGATAAGTTATTTCAGGATAACTAATCACAAGATAATTAATCCTAGAATAACTAGTTCTCAATCAAACAATTAAAATTAAAATTTAGAATATTCGTTTTTAACAAAAAAAAAAAAAAAGTTTATCGAAGTTCTTTTGTTTGGATGCCTATATTCATTAAAATTTTGTAAAAATTTAATCTATCAATGAAAGTTAAAGACTTCACTTGAAATTAAACAAGTCAAAACAATTACTCTACTTCACTTATTTTAATATCTTTGTTTTATTTTTATTATTAATCCATTTAATTTTATAAAAAACTAATTTAAAATTT